CACCAGGCAATATTATCGTTTATCGCAATAAATTTTGAGACAATTAATCGCCCAGCAAAATTTGTTATCGTGACAGGCCTAGGCTAACTCCTGAATCTCTGCAGGGCGTGTCTCTACAGAGAGCCTTTTTATACTGAGCACAGTACTCTGACACGTCACGCTGTACCACACGTCACAAGGGACTTCAAACGTGGTAGTATTTTTTAAACCCCTAGATGGCAGCACCAAGCCGTTTTTGACCAAATATCGACGATTTAAACTATTTTAGACGAAAATGTTAAATTTAGGTCAAAAATAGCAAGGTATTACACTTAAGACACAATTTGGGCAGTTTATTTGTTAAAAAAAGTTGATTTTGGGGTAAGTTACACTTTAAAAAATCTTTAGCTGTTTATTGCAACTAATGTTGACCCTACTAGTCAACTAGTAAAGACTAAAACTAATATATTGGCTAGTTATTTGTTTTACTTACACTTTATAGTTTAACTAAACATTCCAGCTCAGTAAATAATGTTTCTAAAATGTTTGCTAGTTTTACTTGTAAACACAAGTAAAACTAGTTGTCCTGTGTAACTGGTTTTGGCCTTGTTGTAAAATTCAACATACTTATTAGTTGTCTGGTAAAGCTTTAACTGTGTTTTAATAGTGAACTACAAGTACAAAATGCTAGTTTTTTTAACTAGTTCTCCTTAGTGATAATGAGCTAATTAATAAAACAAAATATTGATTAGTTGYCCAAAGTAAGACCAGTATAACAAATTGTTTTCAGTCGTGTCAGTTGTTGATGGTTTTAACCACCTGAGGGACAAAACGTTATAAGATTTCTATATTAGTTGTCTGATTCGTCTGTGCTGTGCCAAATTTCACCAAACCATTAGAAGTTATTGGTGCAGCTGAATTATTGTTGTWTATAAAGTTCAAAATGCAAACTTTTGATTTGCATTAAATTTAAAATAACTGATTGTTTTAAATTATTTGAAATAATCTGCATGCTTGGGTTGAAATAACAAACAAATTGTATGTGTGTGGGTTTTTTTCTTTGTCAGAAAATGACCGGCCCACCTCCCTGGTCCCTGACCTTATTGATTACAACATGCCTCTTACTGCCACCTACCTGAAGCAAATGAAACTGCAGTGCATGACTGCCACTGAGAGGGTAAGTGTCTGCCTGCCACTGGATATTTGTCACATATTTGATACAAATTGTCCTCAGTAAATAAATGTTAAAAAAGCCGGGCCACAGTTAAAACCCTGCTGTTCAGCTGGATGAGTATTTGCAGTGAGAGCGCACGTCTCCAGAATGTTTCCTGCTGAGCCTGCAGGGAGAGCGGTTTTGTGCAGGCGAATCGGGGCATCCTTCCTCCYAACTTTTAATTCATTATTAAACGAGCAGAGTCCTCTTCCTGCTGGGAGGAGGAGCGCCAAGTGAAGTGAGGATTAGGGAAGCTTTTGTACGAGAGACGTCATGTGTAAAACCACTCCCATGTGTCGCTGGCAGAGAAAACACTCAAAAAGCGCTGCCACTAAAGTGCAGGGAATGGTACTTGGTGCTGTTAATGGAGGAATAATTAGGATTATCTGAAACAATGACCCAGACTGGGATTTGTGGGTGAGTACAAATGACCAAACTCCTCTAATAAAATTTAATTAAATAGATTAATCGGTGAATAATTGACTTAGAGACAGGGTTGGAGGGGACTTGCAGGAGAGCGTTCCCTGTTTCTGCTCCGGTTCACAGTTTGAAGCTGCAGATGGTTCAAAATGCTGCAGGTTTGTCATAGTGGGGGAAATCACATGATGGGAATGTTTGTTTAGTCTGTTGTGGCCTCACTTCTCAGCTGCCTGCATGCAGTTTGCCAGAACTAGGTTGAAACACAAAGTTGGAATATGAACATGTTCATTATCCT